ATCCATAATGCTATCATCATCCGATTGATTGGTAGTTGATAATGGTGTTGACTGATTTGGAGAGGGCGTTGTTGGCCTGAGATATTCGGGTAGAGGTTCTAAAAGATTTAAAGAATGAAATGGATTAACTACAATTCAACTCTAAATAGATTTTTATTGATTGTTCCAATGTTTACAAGTAAATGTTCCAGCTAACACTATACCAAGATTTCCGGTATTTCTCCTGGTTGCAAACGGGCTTTCAGGGGCTTCAGAAGCTACAGGGCTTGGTAGAGGAGAGGACTTCCTACTTGTGAAGGGGGAGGCTCCGGTTGATGCTGGTTCAGCATTTAGAGAGTTTGAGTAGGTAGATGTTATCTTGCGTAGTCTACTGTCTGCAGAGCTCAGAATTCTTTGTGCCCTTCGCTGACGACGCTCTGCATCGCTTGTAGAACGACTCTTCTTATTAGTAGTAGTTGAACCGTCGGACATTTTGATATAAAGATCGTGATACTTTCGAAATCGATTTAAAATTCCAAAACGGTTTTTGATTGGTAAATTTTGCTAATTGTGGGATATCGCCAAATATGGTAAGGGTGCAATTCTTGATTCAAATGGTTAAAGAAATAATGAACAGAAAAAACATTTATTAATTTTTTTATATAAAAAAAAAATAAAATAAAATTTTTTTTTACAATATTTTATTAATATAATAATTTTTTATTGGTTATTTTAATATAAAGTATATTATCAATGTTATCGATAAAAATATAATTTATTATTTTAAAAATATAAATTTTACTCATTCGAGCCGATAAACTACTAGGAAACCTGTCGAATAGAAAAAGGATAACACATGCACAATCCTCGTTCCTACTGGCATTCTGGAATTTTGATGAATTGTCAAATTCGTCTTCGTGTAGGGACGTTTATGTTGCATATGTGTAAGAATAATGGAGAGAGGGTGCAGTAGCACAAGTGATATTTGATTTATGCAGTGTAAATTCTATGTTGATTTTTTTATGGTGACCCAGTAATTCAACTTTCT